GGGTGGAACATCTATAGATGTCTATTAAGTCCATGCATTCAAAAGCTTGGTTCAGTTCTAGTATTTCATTGTTGATTTTTTGCCTAAATGATCTGTCTATTTTGTGATAGTGGGGTATTTAGATCCCCCACTACAATTGTATTAGTGCTTATTTGGTTTTTCGTCTTACTTAATATTTGTTTTATATAGTTGGGGGCATTAATATTTAGTCCATATATGTTTATGTTTGTCGTCTCTTCCTCTTGAATTGTTCCCTTTACAAGGATGTAGTGGCCTTCTTTGTCTCTTTTAATCAGTTGTGGTTTGAAATTTACTTTGTCTGTGAATAAGATTGCTACCCCTGCTTATTCTGGGCTCGTCCCATGGAGAATTGTTTTCCATACTTTCACTTTCAGTCTGTGGGCTTCTTTTTGCACCAGGTGTGTTTCTTGTATACAACATATTGTTGGATTTTTTCTTCTTCATTCATTCTGCCAGTCTGTTTCTCTTGATTGGTGAGTTGAGGCCATTGACATTGATGGTTGTAACTGGTATGTACTGACTTATTATTGTCATGTTATTAGCCTTTTGTTGACTCTTTACTTTTTTCCCCTCTCCTTTTAGTTTGTTGCCTTGCCTATTTGATATGCTCTGTTGAGCCTCATGGTGTTGTGACCTTCATTGTCTTCTCTAGGATATTGTTTAGAATTCCTTGCAGTGCTGGTTTGGTATTCATGAAGTTTCTTGGGTGTTCTTTGTCATGGAAGTACCTTATTTCCCCATCCATTTTGAAAGAGAGTTTTGCAGGATACATCAGTCTAGGTTGGAGGTTGTTTTCTTTTAGGGCTTGAAATACCTCACTCCAGGCTCTCCTTGACCTGGGGGTTTGTGTTGAAAACCTGCTGTGATTCTGATGGGCTTTCCCTTGCATGTGATTTGTTTCTTTTCTCTTACTGCTTGTAGTATTTTGTTCTTCTGTTGGGTTTCTGGGATCTTGATTATTATATGTCTAGGTGTAGATTTTTTTGATCGTGCCTAGTTGGAGTCCTATATGCCTCACTTATCTGTATGTCAAATTCTTCCCCTCTGTTTGGGAAGTTTTCTGTTATTAATTCTGTGAACAGCTTTTTATAGTCGTTTGCATTTTCTCCCTATTTCATGGATTCCTATCAGTCTTATGTTATTCTTCTTTGCATCATCTAGGAGTTGTTGAATTGATTCCTCATGATCCTTTACTGTTTTTAAAAGACCTCTCTTTTCATGATCACTGACTATAATCCTATCTTCTATATCTGAGATTCTATCTTCTCATTCTTTTATTCTGTTGTGTACACTTTCAATAGAGTTTTTAATCTCCTGGGTATCTTTTTTAATCTGTTTCATGGATTCCATTTCTTTGATATGTTGGGCATTCAGTGTTTCCATTTCTCTCTTATGCTGGGCCTTCATGGCTTCTATCATGGTCCTGAGCTCATCTATTTTTTTGTCAGTTTCTGTTTTAGAGTCTCTAATCATGACATTCATTTTGCTCACCATCTCTATGTTTATCTGGGAAATTATTTCTGTTTTGAATTTTTCTAGAGCCTGATTGATCTGTTTTGTTACTTCCTGTGCTTTGAGTTCAGGATGTCCTGGTGGTTCACTATCGGCCTTTTCATCCTCCTTTGTCCTTTTGTATGCCATTGGTGAATTGGAAGTCTATCTTTGTGTCTTGCTTAAGTGTTTTCTCTTTTTTATATTTGCTGGTGAGTTGTCCTTTTTTCAATTTCTGGGTTATTAGATCTTCCTGATATATTTGCATTTTATCTTTTGAGTCTCTAATGACTCACAGACATTCTCGTTTCCTAATATCAGAGAAAACAACTCATTAAATCAACCACTGTCCTTTATCCCAATTGATACAGTCAACAACACAGTAGGATCAAGCACAACTTGCAAATTGACCACTCCTGGTAGTCATTAATCTAGCACCTTTCAACCATGTGAATTAAATTAAAATTAAGAAGCTGCCTAAAATATGCTTGCAGTGAATAAACTCTTCAATATAGCATATTTACCATTTAGGATGGGGGCTTAGACAGAGTTAGGATGAGAGGAGTAGATAAGTAAAAGAATTGGAGAAGCCAGAGGACATAGAATGACCACACAATCTTTAGGAAACTCTTAAATTCAAAAGGGATAGACAGAGTGCAAGTATAAGGACAAGAATATATCCCCTTAACAGTAATAGGGGTCACTTTCCCTTGAAATTATTGACCATTGAGTGAGGTAAAATGATAGAAATAAAGAACATAAAGAATTAAGAAAAAATGATAAAAGAAGAAATCTGAGTTTGGGCAGGAGCAGGAACAGAAAGGGAGATGAGGGATAATATGGTGAAGCAAGAGACTGAGCTGGTGAAAGAGGACAGAAAAAAGAATTCACAGAGTGGAATGAGGAAAAGAAAGAAAAAAAATGACTTTGAAGGGCCTCTTTCAGACTAAATCTCTGCTGTTACAATGCACAACATGCACAGCCATATGCAGAACCAAATCCCCTGATCTCAGCCAGCCAAGGGCAGACCCCCGCGATGCAGACTGACCTCAGGCCATAAGACCCAAAATGAGTTCCTTGACCTCCTGCAGGGTTAAGCTCCACACAGTTCTACTACAGGTTTCCCCCACCCTTTCTTTAAAGATGTTCAAAGCTGGGAGCTCAGAAAAGTACCCTCTATAACAAGCTATGCCTCTGCAGAGTGGATCCAAGGACTGGCACAATAAGGAGGTCTGAGAACGGGAGTGGGGGGTTAAAGGGTGCCCACACAGCTACCTTCCTGGAGCAGCAATGGCAGCGGCCACAGGGGAGGGTGTCTCAAAGAATAAATTCTAAGGAACAATTCAGGTTAAACATAGGAAAATGTATCAAGGAATTAGAATGGGGAATAAGAATAGCTCCTGAAAATCTGGAGGGACCATAAATAGGTTGCCATCAAGCCCACTTTTTAAAGGAAGTTTTAAAGAGCAAAGTCACAATAGGTGTGTACAATGTAGGTAAAAACTATAATCAGCCAATCAGATTACAAGTATAGTCACTTTGTAATTGATCTAATAGCAACAAGGGTATATGAATCACATCATTAACCTTGGTCCATAATCTGTAATCTTAGTCTTCTTAGTCTTAGTAATTTTACTTTTAGTGGGCTTGGTGGGAGAGGATTGCCCACTCCCAATGAGGTCATGGTCTATCTATACCAGAAATCCCAAAGGGGTTGTACAGATAACCTCAAGCTTCTGAGTATGCAAATATGGGCATTGTGACTTCAGTCTTCTTCAGATGAGCCTCCAGCTACAGCTTTGACGTGTTCTCATCCTTTTCATTGACTTCAAAGGCCTATCTTTGTCTGACTGCCTATAATATTTCTATCTAACTTAGCTGTCTATATCAATATGAGCATGTGATTTTTCTTCTTTAGCCTTTTGATGTGATGTATTATATTAATTGTTTTGTATATGTTGAAATATCCTTCTGCCAATCTCACTTGTGCTAGTCAGCTTTCTTGTGCTATGATAAAAGCCTTAGATAATGAAGGAAAGATTTATTTTGGGGTCACTTTAAAGAGAATAACAAAGTTCACTCCATAGTCAATTGGCTTTGTTGTTTTGGGGCCTGTGGCAGTGCAGAGCATGGTGGAGCAAAGTCACGCACCATATAGCAGTTGAGAAGCAAAAAAGTAAAAATAAAGGGCTGAGATCCTAATAGCCCTTTCTAGGGCAGGCCTCAGTGACTTAAATTCCACAAGGCCACACTTCTTAAGGATTCTATCATCTCCCCATAGCACCAGAGGTTCCTGACCACACCTTCAGCACATGGCCCTTGAGGGACATTTAGGATCCAAATTATAGCATATAAATTTTATTTTTGGATCTGATTTGCTAATATCTTGTTGACATTTTAAAAATCTATGCTCATGAGAGGTATTCGTTTCTATTTTCTAATATAATCTGATTCTGATATGACAGTAATGCTACAATGAATTAGGAAATGCTAATCATTCCTCTGCTTCTATGTTCTGAAAGAGATTGTAGAGAATTAGTATAATTTCTTCCTTAAATATTTGTTGTTATACAACATTGAACTTCTCTAGGCTTAAAGTATTCTCTTTTAGAAGATTATTATTAACTCAATATCTTCATTTTGTTACAGAACTTTTGATGTCTAGCATTTCTCTTTTCATATAATTTCCATTCTCTGTTTATATTATCCAGCCATTTGTATACATGCTACTTTTCCATTAAAGTTTTTAGTGTATTAATGAGGTTTCTTAAGTTCCTGATAATTCCATTTCTGCCATATCTGATTTTGTTTCTGATGCTTGTTATTTTCAAACTATTTTTTGCCTTTTAGTATGATTTTTTTATTGTTGTTGTTGAAAGGTGTGCATGACATATTATGTAAAAGGAATTGCAGTTAATAGGCCTTTAGTAATTTAGTAAGAGGATGTCAGTTGAGGGGCTGCATTCTACAGTCCTAAGATTAGGTAGGTCCTGTCTTGGGCTAGAGTTGGTATTCCTTTTTCCTGATTCTGCTGAGATCTGATTAAAACAAAACAAACAGCAGGTCAGGCTCTAGTAAAATAGCTTTTCCTCGGGGCAGACCCTGTTAATAACAGAATGTTGTGGCTAACTTCAAAACAGTTCCAATTCCCCTTTCTCCTGCAGGAAGCAGTAGGGATTTTCTCCCCTAGTCACTGAAGAGATTGGATAGACATCTTAGAGACAAAACAAAAAACTGTGGAGCTCTCTTATGACTTCCTGGTGTTTTTAACTCTCAGACTTGTCCATAATGAACCTTAAGTAAATATGTCATTTAGAGTTTAGGTTTTCCTGGCACTGGTTCCAGCAGAGGGTTCTGCCCTGATAAGTGTGATTTTCTGTATATTATTGTCATTCAAATTTGGTGACAGTGGTTTGAATTGTGACCTCACTTCTCTGATGAATCTAAGAAGTTGATTTTCAGTTTGTTTAGCTTTTTATTTGTTAGGATGGAGAAGCAACTTCTAACCTTACATGCCAGATCAGACACTAGAAATCACTAGGTAAAGTTTTTAAATACTTGAATGTTGTTTAAAAGATTGAAAAAGGTAAAGTTTTTTTTTAAGTTTTATATTATGTGTATTTTGTGTGTGGAATACAGACACATTGCACATATTATTCCATTTAGTATATGATACTTAATACATTTATGGCAATGATTGACTAACAATTATCCAGTAAAGCTGTTTTCCTTTACCTCCTGTGCACATAGCTGGACTACTATTCAGGTTTTCTTACAATCAGGTGTTGTCAGGTAACAACTGCATTCTGACCACTTAAAGTGGACAGAAACTCTGTTGATACAGGCCTGGCTCATAAATGCCATCTGTATTATGAGTCTTAGTCTTCTCTACATCATGAGGATGAATAAGATGCGGAGTTCTCCAGGTTTGAGATACCAAAGACAAAAACTAGGAGACTGATGATATGAACCATTGCTTGGAGGAGGGATATCGAATCTATGCCACAACAGGCTGTTTATTATCGTTGAAAGCTCTAAAAGATTCGCAATCACTGGCCTAGAGAAACACAGTCTGATAATAAATAATATCCAGTTAAGATTTTACATGATTGAGAAATCAACTGCTTTTTAAGTTATAGAGATTAGGGGTTTATCAGAGAAAGAAGCATTATTTTAAATAATACACAGGTAGACAATAGACCTGAGCTGAACTTAATTCAACCATATTATTTTAGGAAAATTAAAATCGTAATTTGATTGACTCATAAAATGAATAAGTTTTAAAATCTAACTAGACAATCACTGACTTATTGAATATTTCTACATGTAGTATTTTGCTACATTTATAACAAAACAGAGCAAGATGAGGGAGCTCAGATATAAAAAGTGTTAGTCAACTTACCTGAAGCACCAATCATCAACCCAAGCTTTTTACTTCGAGTCTCTATTACTCTCCTATGAGAAGGAAAAAGGTAGGAAAGAAAAAACTATTATAATCAATAGAACAAAATCATTTTTGGATTTAGAGTCAGATGAATTGATACATGTAGAAATATTTTTTAAAACTTTCATGATAAAGATGAATACCAAATTCAGGACAGTAATTACCTCTGAAGAAAAAGGGAAAGAATAGAATAGGAAGAGAGTAAAGAGTATGTCGATTATATCTGTAATATTTTATTTCTTTTAAAGTAGAAAAACAATACACATTGAGTAAACAGGTATTATTTGTGTTTGTGTGTGTGTGTGT